AATTTTCTCAAAACCCCCCAAAATTGGCAAAATTTTTGGGTGGGGGGGAGGGGAGCTTTAAAAAATGGTTTTCTTTTTTGGGGGGGGGGGGGGGGGTGCCTTTTTTCTTCATTTAAAGGGCCCCCCCCCCCCCAACCCGCCGGGGACCCCCTTCGGGAAAAAGTAAGCCTTTCAGGAAATGGGACAGGGAGAGGGTACGCAGCCCCTACCCCCCCCCCGATCTGCATGATATGTCCAACACGTTTTTCTTGATCGAAACAACCCTGCGAAAGGTTACTATAATACTGGACTGCCCGCCCCCCCCCCCACCTGGTGCCAGGAGAACGCGACTCCGACGGCGATGAGCGCGCCGAACAGCAGGGACACCGCCACCTGAGACCGAAGCAACGAACCGTCGTCCACCAGCACCAGGAACACGCCCGCGAGGCAGCCGAGGCACGTCCCTACCGAAGCCCTCGCGACGAGCACGGCCACGGTGCTGCCCACGAGGGCGCCTATGGCGGAGATCCAGATCCCGGCCATGAAGCACAGGATTCCGTCATCGTCTGATCAAAACGGGGGGAAAAGAAAAAAACAACAACAACGAGCGTCAGGTACAGCAATAGTGATGTAGTGATGATGCTACTTTCTGAAAGTAATTTCTCCCTTCCGCTTCCAGCACGCGGATCTACGTCCACGAAAGGAGCGCTCTTCGCTCCGCGACGGACTCAACTGATCTCAAGCATCTTCCAAAAAAGAAGAAGAAAAAATTGGATAATGAAAAAGTGAGAGGGATCGGACACGAACCGCGCAAAAGTTCTCCAACTGGTTCATGTGCGGTACTCTAGTCTTGTGACGACAAGAGAAAAGAGATGGGGGGGGGGGGGCTTCGACCTGGCTGATTCTCACCGAACTGCGGGCAGGATCTCGTTGACGCAGAATAGGCCGAAACAGCAACCCGCTCACCGCCGAAACGACCGTCAGATGCTTCCTGCGAACCCACGGTGGCGGTGCGAAGAAAGTGACAGACGGTGCGAAGAAAGTGACGCGACGGCGTGATGCCGGCGGTAGGGAAAGCATGGACTTCTTCGACATACCTACGTGACGCGTACATGCCTACACAGGGATGAGAGCAAAAATGCACGATGGTGGCGACAAAGAAAACACCAAACTTTCCAACATCCGTGACATTACACAGAAATACATAAGCATGGGGCAAAAACGTGCGCAGCACGGGGGGGGGGGGGGGGAGACGTGGATGGTGTCGTGGAACGGAGTGTTACAGGGGGTGAAAGACCGAGCAGAGCACACCCATGCTAGCATCAGCAGCAGCAGCAGCAGCAGCTGGTGGTGGCGAAATGGTGTTACTGATGTATTCACCATTATTTAGCACGACCAAGCCCTTTCAACACGAGCGTGCGTGCAATGATCCCAGCAGAATCGGCGCGTATGTACGCGACACCATCCATAGTTTCAACAGCAGTAGTTTCGTTTCCGGTCCACGCTGCATGCAGTATGTCAAGGGCATGGGTAGGTCATTTTCCCCCACGTCAAAATATCGCCCAGGGCGGACGGTCCCGGCAAGACTGCTGTTTACCGGCACAATTCGGTTTTTTACCGTCTCCGCCAGGGTCGTCGTTGCCGGCAAAAACCGCCAACCTTTGATGCGTACAAAAACCGCCAAGAAAATCCATGCCGCCGAAACATACCCGCCTTTTCTTCGCTTCTACCGCGTCCGCCAAACTCGTTCCATAATGTGCCAAACTAACTGCCAGTATCGCTGAAAAATCACCCCCGTCTATGAGAACATGACCGCACAGAGCCGGTGTCCGCGTAAAAGAGCGTAACCGACACCTTGTTTGGTAAAAAACCGTTGTTGAATTTTCATTTTTCGTGCTGGGGAGCGGGGCTCATGTCACGGATGAATGAATACGATTTCTCTTGCTGCATATTTCTCTTTCTCCTGCTGGTGCGCCGCCATTTGCGACGCTATGCGGGTAGCGGGGTTCCAAGGGATTGGCATGTATTGTGTGAAGAGGGAGAAACACGCAACGAGACGACGTACGGTGCTGCTCTCCGCCGTGAAAAGCAATGCTAGCTAACCTGGCACCCGTGTTCGTGTCCGTTCGTTCCTCGCAAAACGATTGTCTAGACAAAAAGAGACAAGAAAGCCAGCCAAAGGAGGAACAAAGACGCACACACGCGGCAGCGGCCGATGTATGCAACAACTTTGTTTGGTAGTAGTCATGACCAACACTCGCCGCAGCAGCGAACGGACTTTTTCCCCGACAAGGTCAGGGCTGCAATGGTTGGGGGGGGTTGCATCTACGGGGGTACGCCGGGATGGTGGTGGTGGGCGTCGTCATGTACGCTTGTCTCATCCCAAGCAGCAGACCATTTCCAGATGAGAAACAAAGCGGCTTTTCATGACCTCTGAACACCGCTCACTTCTCTCTTCCTCTCTCATGAAAGAGAAGCCGGCGCGTTATGTATGCGGGAAAAGCAGTGCGTGTTTCGCATCGGTGTTGTGCACACACACAAAGGGCGCGGGACGGGGGCAACGCACACGCTGGCGGCGGGTAAAGTTGTCTTGTTGAGGTCGGCGAAAGGGCGTCTCATGGTTGTGCCGGCCACTCAGATTTCGTCAGTGACGCGCGAAAGCAGTGAAGGTGTATGTAGTCTATGTCCGACTCGGCGCGTCGACTCTCTCCTCTACGCAAGTGCATCACGACAAACATGCACAGCTTTCTCTCTCTCTCTCTCTTCGCTGTTGCTCCTCCTCACCTGTACGAGAAGAAGCACAGCCCTATGCCGGCAACGACGCATGCCACAGAGACCGGCACAAGCTCCTCCTCAGAGAGGACGGGGGGCGTGAAAGATCCCATGGATATGATGTCCCCCTGTGGGCCAGCAAGATGTTGTAGCTCGCCTACCTGCTTTGTAGTACGCAGGAAAAACGTCTGCGACACAAATCAGCGCTACCGAGCGCGCGCGCGCCGGGCCGCTCCGCTCTCGACAGAAAGACCCGCAGTATGCGGCAGGATCTAGGCACAGCTTGTTCCTCGGCGTCTTCAGTCCCCGTACACAGGGAACATCATAACATGTGTGCTTGGGGACACCACTGCTCATCTCCGAGCCGCCTCTCAGCGGGGGCTCCGCAGTTGAACTTTGCTTTTGCAACCCCCCCCTTACCCACCGACCGCAGCTAAGTCCAGCTCCTCTCCATCCACCGCCAGTAGTGTTGCACCGCAGTGTTTTTCGCGCCGTACTGGGTAGGGGGTGAGTGGTGCGCCTTTTTCAGGCCCGACACACAGGCTGTGCTGCAAGCACAAGGATGCGGGAGGTGGCGTTGTTGACTTCTTCGGCGGGAGATGGGCTGGCCACTGTGGTCGATGTCCTCACGGGCACGCAGCTCTCGAGCCTCAAGCACTGCTCCTCGCAGCCCGGCTCCACGGCTTTGATCGCTGGAGACTTCGTTGTCAGCGCACAGGTAATAAAAAGAGAGGGGTGTACATTACAAAGGCTGGAAAAAGGAAAATGCCCTGCCTGCGTGAAGGCTGTGTTGCCTTTTCGGTGGATACACGCTTGTCGTGAATTTCTCCACGACCGCAGACCTTCTCGTGTACAGCGGACCTCTTGTGTAGATGACAGAGATCGGTGGAGATCATGTGTGTGGATGGATCTCTTGCGTCTACTGCAGTACCACCGGTCCTGTACTTCATAGTCGTATTCGCGCAGCACCGAAACCCTGCATACTCTCTAGCCACCGATATGTTTGCCTTTTACATATCCACGTCGTGCGGTAGTTGCCCTGTGGCATCATCATTTCAATTGCTCTGGTCGATTCGAATTCGCGTGGTGCCACCACCGAGTACAACGCTGAAGCACCCAAACTTAGCCTACTCTCATTCCATATGTACTTGTCCAGGATGCATATGTTCGCTTACTTAAAAAAAGAACTGCGTAACCTACAGCAGCAGTGTACATGTATGTACATCATCAGACGAGAGGGAATCAGAAGCGGAATCAGAAGGTGGCAGTCGTGACGACTATGGTTGTGTGTCACAGACAAGTGCTGGCAACATGGCCCCCAACCGAGTGTAGCCCATTGCAGCACAATCTCAAACACCTATTGAACACTGCTTGCTGCCGACGGAAAGTGAGCTTGATGCGTAGTAGTGGTGGTATCACGGACCGCCGCGGAGACTCGCAAGGAGGATGACCAGCTTCTGGTTCATCCCTGTGAAGCGTAGATAACCTGGGCCGGCGAAAACCCGACATTTCGCTCCTCCGTCCCGGCATTATTGGAATGCGAGGTCTATGGTCTACCGACTACATGCGTTTACATGAGTACCCCCCCCCCCACCGAGATCGATTGCTCCACAACCAAGAGGGTATCATCGCAACTCGACAGACTCTCGCAAAGAAAGCTAGCTGCCGACGAGAGGTCTCGCCAAAGCCACACTTTCCGGCGTTCGTGCACCTCGGAGGTCGGAGCAACGCAACTTTAAATCAACGATCTGTCACCTGCTGCTGTGCGCTTGGCACGCACCGCTGTCTGTGTCGGTAGATACTTCAACTCGGTTCTCAAACCGCCGAGCTCTTTTGTGTGGGGCACTGAACGTGCTGGAAGAGCGCGCCCCCAAGACGTGAGGCCGAGCGCTCACATCAAGTTCGGGTGACGAGCAAGCAATGGTTGGAATTTGCTCTGGGGTCGCGAAGCGCTTAGAGCTTGTCCCCGCCATTCGTAAATGAATGATCTCACCGGTTTGGTTTGCGCTTGCCCCTGCCGTTCACGCTTGAATTTTCTCACCGATGTGCGCGATGCCTTTGGGGAAAACGTGTACATACGCGCGGCAGGTGAAGGGGACGGCGGTGCACTTCTGGGCCTGGGGAACCGAACAGCCGAGGCTCAAGTGTCACGCGCCGGAGAAGCTCGGTCCCCTTGCCGTGACCGGTGAGTTGCAGGACTCAAACCGCCGCGATACGGTCATTAAGCGCCGTCTCGATCCAGCTCTTTCCCCCTGCTCGCCTGGCGATCGCTGTTGTCCACCCGGAAATCGATCATGACCGCGCGATCGTTCAGGATTTTGGGGGGAAATATTCGTACTCATCTCCTTGCCGCTGTGAAGAGTACTATTGGGGTTGAAAAATATTCTCTTGACCTCACGGCCCCCCCCATCGGTAGGCCAACGCGTACACAATCCGAACATTTGCAGGACGTTTGGGTTGCAAGGTGTATGGATGCGTTTCGCAGTTGGTCATCAGACCCTCTTGACCTTGGCGACGTAACGTCGGACTCATCTGATTGCGCCGCAACTACGCACTTTTTCACAACGTGCCGGGGGGTTTCTTTAGGGATGGTTGATTGATATGATATGAGGAGGGCGGGTGCGCTCTAGCGCTCCTCCTTTCCCGCGGATTTCGCGTTGAGCACCCCTGTCCTCTTTGTACTAGATAAGCACGAAAGTTTATGTAGTCAACGAGAACCGAGCATGCCTGTGCATCTGTCAACATGGTTGCTCGAGAGGTCCTGCTCTGCGCCTCTTGCCGTCTCCACCGTGTACGCCACAGCTTGACGCCGGCAAGCGCTGCGGACCATGGCCACGGCGGTGTTGTTTTCTGACGATGCTGCCGTACTGTAGTGCCACTGGCTGCGTTGGACTGCTGTTCTCAAATTGAACCTCGCTTGGTCCAACACTTCTTCTGTGATTGTATGCATGTGTTAATACGATGTGCCATGCGGTTTGATGCCCTTTGTGTTGTGTACGGGCAGGGGACGGGTGGCTGTGTGCGGGCGGGGGAGTCTCGGGACGCGTCTACCTGTGGGAGGTGTCCAGCGGGACTCTCCTTCGCGCGTGGGACGCCCACTACAAGGCAAGGGCTTGGCGTAGCAATCATGACGGTGACGCGGGGGCAGAGGGAGAGAGCGCAACGACACACAACCTTGCGCGTACCCCCCCCCCCCCACACACACACACCGGGGTGCTCCGTCCTCTCGAGGACGTGTGGTATTTACGGCTAAATAATACGGCATGCACAACATACCACCCCCTGTCGTGTCCGTGCTCCCCTTTGCCGGCGCGATTGCTTTGTTTTGTCGACGACACACCTCAGGCGGTGTCGGCGCTGGCGTTCAGCCCGGACGGCTGCTTCCTCTACTCGGGTGGGGAGGACGCGATGGTCTCATCGTGGAACATGCTCGCAGCCGTCGACCCCGACGGGGGGGAAGCCTTCAAGGTACTGGCTGCTGCTGTAGGCGAAACTGTTGTGTTGGTGTGGGGATGTGTTGGGCACCTGGTGTTTCTTCTGGACGTTACATTTTTCGGGATAGTTGTGGAGGCAACAGTCGGGGGCGGAGAGGAGGAAGGCGACGCACGTAGGTTCTCTTCCTTTTTTCCGCCCTCGTGCTATGGCGCCTGCCTTAGAAGGAACCTTTCTTTGGTCCCTCTCTGTCGTCGACCTTGATGTCGAAGTTTGTGCCATAGCTGTGACATGTTGGATTGGGCACAATGCGAGGACAAATTTCGGTTGGGGTGTACTAGCTGCACCGAGATTCCCTCTCACGCCCAAATGCCCGAAATTTGCCCCGCCGTGTCCACCAGTTGAAACACTGGGGCGAGATACATTCGTTTATTGCCCAATAGGATTGGTCCATTTACCTGTTTTCACCGGTCCTCCATGCATGAATCAATGGCAGCGACACGTCGAGATCAGCTATATTTGTTTCCCCCAGGTTCATGATTTCTCGACGTTAGTTCTCCCAGCGGGTTATCAAGGTCCGCAGATCGACCAGCGAGCGCCGTCCATGACCACTCGTGTATTTTATCTCTCTCTTGCTCCTTCCGATTTTTTCCGTGTGTGCCAGGGCGGCGGTGGCGGCGGGAAGTCGTCGCTGCCGGCGACCTGGACCTCCTCCGAGCACTCCCTCCCCGTCACCTGCCTACACGCGGCCAAGGCCGGTGGCAGGGTCTACTCGTGCTCCCTCGACCGTACCGCGAAGGCCTGGGACTCGTGCTCCGGGCGGCTGCTCCTGTCCGTGACGTGCCCCGCCTTCCTCAAGGCGGTCGCCGCGGACCCCGCCGAGGCGTTCTTGTTCGCCGGGGGAGGGGGCGGGACGATCTTCCAGGTGCGCATTTTTTTTTTTTTTCCTCGTGTGCTTCAGCAGTTGGCGCACGCACTTGATCGAGAACCTCTAAATACTTCTGGCCGAGGCTGGAGTTCTTAGTTCCTAGGTTATGCTACGAGTGGCCGCTCTGTAGGTTTTTGTGTGTGAGTGCTTACCCGAGCTCGTCGCAAAAATTGTTGTCAAAAGTTTGAAGATTTTGATGTTTTCGAGGCTAAATCAATTTCTTCCAGCAAGTGCGGGCGCTAGATGTATCACAGCGAAGCAGCCCGCGGGTTGTGATGCGGTGGACGTTTTTTTTTTTTTTTTTTGTGCCACGTGAATGCACGCGTGATGAGCGGGGGAGGGGGAGTCCGGCATCCGAGACAGTAGTGGTCTGTTGATATGAGCTGGTTTTGTCCGAAAATTGCTGTGTTTCGCCCGCCTTGATCGTCCCAAAACTCTCGTCATCGACGCAGTTTTTTTTTTTTTTTTTCGTGTTTGTTGGTCGTGGCGCGCTCGCACCTCCCACCCTCGGATTTGTGTTTTCGTATGTTGAGGCCCATTCTGAGAGAGGAGCAGCGAGTTGTTTGCGCTGGTCCGCTCTCAACCGAAACGCGGTCCAAAGGCCCTCGTGCAGTCGCCGTCGTGTTTGATTGGCCGCCACGTACTTACCCCGCACTCTCCTCACCCCAGCTGGATATCAGCGCTACAGCAGTTGCGGCGACGGCTTCGAACGCCGCGGTTGCGTCTTCAGGGGGACTGCAGATCGAAGAAGAGGCAGATGTGAGGGGGGGGGGGAAAGAGTTCACCAAAGGCTTTATTGCTGGGGGGCTGCTGTTTGAGGAAGACATAGAGGTGCGATGGAAGAATACCCCGAAGGTTTATTGGTGGTCTGGGGGTTGTTGGTCTCTTTGCGCCGAGGCAACGACGCCGTGGTTGGTTGCCCGACAATCGGCGGAGCACGTACGTAGCGGGGGTGGGAAGATCCAGTTCGTTGTAGCACTTGGCGGGTACTAAGGTAAAGGTGGTCGGGAAATGGTTGCAGTGACGTGTGCATCAGGATTGCCGACACGAGAAGCTCACAGACACCAAGACACACAGACAGAAAAATACAGACAAGGGGACAGAGGCAGGGATAGACAGACAAACAGACAGAAGCAAGGATGAATTTTGAGATAACACAAAGAAAAAAGGGTGGGAGAGAGAGAGAGAGTAAATGGTAGAGACAAAGACACAGAGGAAAAGGTAACGATAGAGATGGAGAAAGACAGACCATAAGAGCGACAGAGAGACGCAGGGAGAGGGACAAAGACAAAGATGGACAAAAGGCAGACAGAATTAGAGACAGAGAGAGAGAGAAGCTGGAGAGAGGAGCGGGGTGGATCGGGAGAGCCGTAAGGGGGACAGAGATACAGGCCAGCGGTATGACTTGCACATGAGTCGGAAGGAAGGGTGCAACAGGGGGGAGATATGTGATATGTGATACAGGTTGTGTTACAAAAGACCTTCGGCGGGATACGTCCCGGGCTTCCACCCTTGAACCTTGAACCACACCCAACAGCCTACATCTTCCCGTCTTCCCTCACGTTCCCCCCCCCCTCCGTGCTCCCCTCTATCACGAAAGAGCGAAGAACATGATCCGTCGTGGGGGCTACGGTTACCCGAAGCAAGCTTCGGCGGTGGAGGCAGCGGGGCCGACGGGGGGGGTCTGCAGGAGTTGCATGGACACGAGAAGGCGGTGACGAGCCTGTCGGTTACGGCGGACTCGTCGGTGTTGGTGTCGTCGTCGGAGGACGGGACTGTCAGGTCTTGGCACGTGGCCAGCCGACAGTGCGTGCAGAAGACAGAGGGGGTCGTCGGGGGGAAAGGTGGGCAGCCAGTTTTTCGGCGGCGGCGGAGGTGGATACGGTAGATGCAGTGCGGGGGTGGGTGTGGCACACGGTTGTTTTGTGTTTTTTTTCTAATTTTTTTCTCGATTAGCATGCGACACCCTCTTGTGGGAGTACGGCATCGGCGCATAGGTTCTCTGTTTCCGTTGTTTCTGCGGGGTCGAACCCTGTCTGTCGACGTTTTGGGCGGGGATGGCTAGAAGAGAGGCCCCGCAGTACTTACC